GTCTGCAGTTTTATCGGCTGTTTTTTTTTATACAGTTCCCCTGTTGCTGCGTCACCTAAATCTACTTCTCCTTTGAAGAGCATCTGTAATCTATCTGTAAAGAAGCAGGCTAAAGAAGACCTTAAAGGACCACTGTCATTAGAAAAATTGTGTTCTGATAACTGCATTCACTTTTGGCAATAAGGGATTCAAAACACTGTGCAGATTGTTACTTGAATGAAGCAGATGCAGATAGGAAGTAGCAGGAAGAGCATCCAGGTGTCAACTCCTGTAATTTCGAGATTTAAAAGCAGGAAAAACTCTCAATTTGAAAGGAGGCTGCATAAGTGTGGATGGGGTTGAGGCAATCTTTCCCCTATCTTGAATGGCCATTACCACATCATTGATACTAGCTGTGAGCTACCTAAAACACATTTCTAAAAATCAGGGTTTCTTTTATAACAGTCAGGGGAATTCAGTATGACACTTTAAAATGGCCCGCGCTAGATTACAATAACCACACCCCCTGTTTCGATAACTTTACTGCTGCATACCACTTTTACAAACTTTGTTATTAATGCACCAATTTCAAAATAATTACCTCCAGCTCCTAGGTAACAAACTGGGAGGTGATCTCAGGTTAATGCCTGCTTCTTGCACAGTGTTTCAGATATTTGCCACCACTTCCTCCTCTCCTGCCCTACCTGTTGTTAAGGGTGCTGTTGGCTTCACAGCTAACCACCTCCTAGCAACCAGTGACGCTGCTGTGGGTAGTGCCTGAAGGGGAAGCTGAGCCACTAGTTTCCACTCATTCCATGTGATTGACAGCAGACAGTGGGTGGGTTCTATAGCCAATAGCTGACAAATTCGAGTTAGAGGCTGGACTGGTTCATAGTTACGTAGTTAGTCTGGCTGAAAAAAGACAGTCCATCCAGTTCAACCATTAAAAAAAAAAAAGTTATAATCCTATACCCACAGTTGATCCAGAGGAAGGCAAAAAAACCCCAGCAAAGCATGATCCAATTTTCTCCTGCATGGAAAGAAATTCCTTCCTGATCCCTCGAGAGGCAATCAGATATTCCTTGGATCAACTTTACCTATAAATGTTAGTATCCAGTTATATTCTGTGTATCTAAGAAAGAATCCAGGCCTTTTTTGAAGCAATCCACTGAACTGGCCAGAACCAACTCTTGAGGGAGTCTATTCCACATTTTCACAGCTCTCACTGTGAAGAAACCTTTCCGTGTTTGGAGATCAAATTTGTTTTCTTCCAGATGTAAAGAGAGCCCCCTTGTCCTGTGATGACCTCAGGGTGAATAGCTCTACACCGAGTTTACTATATGAACCACTGATGGATTTATACATGTTGATCATATCCCCCCTTAATCTCCTCTTCTGAAAATGGTTACTGATAGTTGTTAGGTGGTTCTGCCGGTAAGTGGTGGTGCTGAATGAGAAGAAAGGAGCACCCGGTGTCCAAAATAATTACATTCTTGGTGGGAGGTTACATAATTTGAAAGTGTGAGAACATACAGGTTAAGCCAACACGTTTCTGGGGAATTGCCTCACCTTTCCGCAGAGCCTTGGGTACATGCTAATGGAGATGGATTAACTCTGTGATAGTACCAGAATTCTTTGTGATGGCAAATCCCGGCTAGTGCATTTTGCATTTGCTGGCTTGCATTTTTCAAGTCGGCATTTGCCATCACAAAGAAGTCTGGTACTATCGCGGAGTCCTTCCATTTCTGTTTTCAGGACCAACAGCCCTGAAGAAGGGGTAGGCTGTTCCCCCAGAGCATGTTGGCTTGGTTCAACCTGTACATTCTCACACTTTCAATAATTGATTGTAATCTCCCACCAAGGGTGGCATTATTTTGGACTCTGTGCGCTGCTTCCTTCTGATTCAAGCATTGCTAATAGTTGACTATCTATTGGCTAAAGATCCTCCCACTGAGTGCTGTCAATCACAAGGGGATCAGACCTGGTGGGGAACTAGTGCTTGTTTATAACAAGTACATGAATATGTTGTCTGCACCGACGTTTGTTGCATGGAGGCACATCAGAATTTATCAAAGGCACTCGAATCCCCCTAAACAGTGTGGAGGTTTGTTTTTTTTTTTTTTTGTTTTTTTTCTTCTTGGGTTGATTATGCTTTCTGCATCATTGGTCTAAAAACTGTTAGAAAATGCTGCTTTTATGTGTACATACTGTATATGTGTGTTGAGCTTCAGCCGATGCAGTTCCCTTGTCACAATATTGCTCTATGAAAGTTCATAATTGCCTTCTTTCCCTTGCGAACCTAACCTAGTTTACTGTCTTATGTGAAGTCTATAAAAATAAATCCTCGTACCCTGGAACATACTGGCTCCTGAGACTTATGATCACTTGACTGTGAACACATCATCCAATCAGATTGTTATCAAAGCTCTCCTTGAGCTCACAGTCTAATCAGCAGAAGGTACAACATGAAAAAGGCTTGTGTTACAGTGCTGCATTATCGTTGTAATCGGCCTTTAAAACCCGATGTTTTAGAAATATGTCTCTTTTTATATGAACAAATCCTCAGCCTATACATAATTGAAGACAAAAAAAATATTATAACCTCCCATCGATCAAGTTAGTTAATTAACATCTGAAAAAGCAGCGTGATTTTAATTGTTATTTGCAATGTTTGAAATGTGAAGGAATATAGTTCCTTGGCGGATTTTGTTTCGCTCCAGTAATATGAGAATATCTGCTCAATTGATATGCCAAAGTAGGCAATGTTATTATTTTAAAATGAATCAAACTGTCACAGTTTTATGCGACAGATACAGTTGTAATACATCATTGTGTCTGGCGCTTCAGGGTTACCAGCAAGACGGTGGCATTCTGGGTAGCAAAAGACTGATCATTTTATTTCCCTTGCCAGAATTTGCATGTTAGATTTTAATGGATCTCTCGATGCCTTCACAAGCAGGCCCAAGAATCTGAATAGATTTTTTGGTTGTAAAGTTTTTTGTTATTTTAAAAAATACTGGCTGTTTGGCATCTCAGCAGAAAGACTGGATTGTGCAGGAATAGGGTCTTTTGTATAATAACTGTATACACTGTCACTTGTGGTCACCGTAGTTGTGCAGTGATTTTTGAAATGTTTCTGTTGTTTATGATGGTTATTAATTAAAAAAATATTTTTTCATATGTATGAAATCGTAATTATGACTATTTTGTATTTTCACAGGCAGCCAGTAGGTGGAGCTCTCAGCTCCTTTTTGCTTTTTTCTAGTTTTTCTTTGGCAGCTTTTGTTGTTTATCAAGCTCAATAGCTCAAAGTGCAATATGAAAGCTGTGCATGACCAGTTAGTGCAGTCCTTTACATAAACAATAAATTAGGTTTCTGGAGATGCCCTTAAGGTATTGCAATCATTTTTTTTACCAGTTTCTAAAAATTATAGTTGTTTGCCGACCACAATGAAGACTCAGATTGCTTTGTAGTGGTGATTACAGCATTGCAGCCTTCTCCATATTAATAAATAGTTGCCACTTTCAAGTTGGCAAGCTTCATCCCATATGCAAGTGCTGAGGCTGTAGGGCTTGCAGTAGTATCAGGTGATTCTTGGAAAACATCTTTGCTTTGTTATTGCTAGCATATGCCATATTCATTCGCCTCATATGTGCATTTTATTTGGAACAAAATGTAAGTGGAAATTTCCCCAGAATGAGGAGAAATCCCCCGTTTGACAGTTGTTGGCTGAACATATGTCCATATTGGAAGATCGGTCCTCTAATATTGTTCCAGTAACACTAATATAAACCTTTGTAATACCACTGTTCCAGTTAACTACCTCTTAAAAACAATCAAGAATTATGGCAATTTTAGCTGTATGAGTAAACTTCGCTTTAGAGAGTTGATACCAAAGCAGCAGAGCAAGAAACACACCTGACCCTAGATGTTGTAGGTAAAATAAAGGGTTTTCTAATCATTGGCACCTAATCTGGAACATCGGATTCTTATTTATGTAGGTAAATGTAATTACTTTTGCATATGACAAATCTGCTAATTTTAATGGTTTGTACTATAGCATTTGATCTGATGCAGAGTGTATAGTTGATGCTCATTGAAAAACGTTGCTTTCTTCTGGACAATTTACCGGAAGAAGCTTCTCATTGGTCACATGGCTGCTCTGGCCAATGAGTGCTTTCCATTACATAGATTATGATGAATATTCACCCCAGGGCTGTTGGCCTATTGGGGGTGTATGGACCACTGCATTGTATGGAACAATACAGCCACTATGTGCAGTAGGCTGTAGACAGGTGGCCAAGATGTTTTCTTTTGTGAAAAGCTGAACTTGCCCATTAAATATTTGTTTAATCTAGGGGTTAAGGGATAAATACAAACATATACCCCCTGCTTCACCATCCTTGGTTAAAGTGCAGAACTGCTCATCATATCCTAATGGTTAGACCCAGCACACATGTCTCCTTTCAGTGCTGCAGGATTTAAAGTGGTTGTAAAAGTTTTATAATTTTTTTTTCTTAAATAACAAACATGTCCTTGCCTGCTCTGTGCAATGGTATTGCATGGAGTGGCCCCAGATGACCTCATCTGGGGTCCCCCGCTGGCACTTTGGCTTCTCCTCTTCTCTGTGCACACTCCAGAGGAAGCTGCTTCCTATGGTGGCACACCTGCAGGCTTCATTCTGATCTGTGGGGTGTGCGTCTATTGAAGCACACAGGGCGGCTTAACCCTGTCCTCTGCTCTCGGGTCACAATATTTGATTGACAGCAGCAGGAGCCAATGGCTTGCGCTGCTGCCTCTGTGGGCAAAGAGAGGGGAGAGCCTCTGCAGATACACACAGTGCTGGGTTGAGATAGGACTCAGGTAAGTATACAGGGTGGTGAGGGAGCAATACAATGAATGCATTAAGGTAAAAGACTTCTACCCTTAAAGTGGAGTTCCACTCGACCTATCAAAAACTGACCTACAAAAACTGTAGCTGCTGACTTTTAAAAAACAGCCACTTACCTGTCCCTTGGTCCTGTGGTGTGGCCCCCGCAGATCTTTTCACCAGCCGTCCTGTATTCCAGGAGGCCAGCATCTTCAGTGTGGGCACCCGGCTGTGACAGCTTGCGGCTTCACAGCCGGGTATCCACTGCGCATGCGCAAGTAGAGCTGCGCTTCGCGAATGGTCCTGTAGTCTTCTGGGACCTGTCACGTGTCCCAAAAGACTACAGGAAGGGAGGGAGGACACCTTCCGCTTCCGGTCGCCTAGGCAATTGGACCGGAAGTGGGAGCGGGTACCTGTCAAATTCGTGTACCCGCTCCCCAAAAGTGTCAATCCTTAATGGGGAGCGGGGGAGCAGTCCTTAAAGCATAACTTTCCCTTTTGGGTGGAGCTCTGCTTTAAGAAGCACTTTAAACACTGTTCAGTCCTAGGCCACATCAGTAAAAAAAATTTTTTTTATTTTTTTTTCCTGCTTCTTGAGGTCTGTAATTCAGTTTACATACAGTATTTGATATGGTAGGTAGATTGTTGGATGAAAGGTTTTGAGTAAAATTACAGTTACCCTTTAAACATTGTTGCCTCTGTAAATTGAAGATATGTCTATGGTAGAACATCAATTTTGGTCCACACAGGTGTGTATCACATACCAAGCATATGCAGGGTGGGGGGTGGGAAGACATCAGTTTTTTTTTTACCCCGCATGTGTTCTACAGTGAGAAGCACCTCAAGCTGTGTTGATTGAAAAGCAGCACATTGAATGGAGTTGTTTCAGTTCATGATCCCTTAGGGATTATTATAGTCGTTCTGCGCCTGGTGCTCTCTGCTCATTACACTCATCACATTAAGACCTGTGTGATCATGCCATGCGAAGTGTCTTCCAGCACATAGAACAGCAGACAATTAGGTTGTACACCTGTACTTATGAAGCCAACAATATAGTCAAGGTCCACATAATTCAGATATGGCAGGGGCAGGAGGATACGGTTAAATATAATATATATATATATATATATATATATATATATATATATATGAGAGAATATGTATGGAGTCTAATCTTGTGATATTGCTTGAGATCACGCATATTGCTGTAATATGGAACATAAAGAGACCACCCCCCGCCACCTATCCTGCCTAAGCTGGGTAAAAAAAAACATCTCCAGCTCCTTTGGCTCACTTGTGTCAGTGAGTGGCAGCTGCAGGGGAGAGAGGAGAGAGCATGGACAGTGGCTGAGAAATGGGAACCCACGAGTGAAGTCACATCTCCAGGAATTCCCAATCCGTTGTAGAGCACTCGCTCCTCCCCCCTTCAGCTGCTGCTCACAGGCACAGAATCCTGAAACCGGAGTGAATTAAAATTAGGCAAGTATACGCCTCTTTTTTTTACACATAGTAGTAAGAGGGTGGAGGGAACATTTTTAAGCATAGATCGTGTTAGATGCCATATAGACCGCACATAAATTATATAAACAATACAAATTAATATCTAGAGTTATAGTATTAAACAACACACATCTATAAACTGGTTTAGGGTGCAATCCCACTATGTGAAATTAAAGTGCAATCGTACTAGATTCCTGATTGTGAACTCTGTATTAAAGTGACAGGTGCTCCACCGTGCTCAGACTGGTGCCCCACATGGATGTACACCCACCGTCATCCCATGACCACCTATCTCTAGGATGGTCACTAGTGCTTTTGTTGGGACTATCCCAAAATGCCAGGTTTTGATAGTGAACGCTGTTCCTTCTTGTGTGTTCCACACCGTTTCTGATGGTAACCGATGTGTATTCACCAGGTTAGGTTGTAAATATTAATAATCCAGTGTAGGTTGTCGGCTTAAAAATAAAAAAAGAATCGGACATAAAAGTGCTAGCTGAATACACTCAGTGCCAAGTAATAGGCACTTATTTTGTGAGTGGCATTTTAATTATTTATCTCCAATATTAAAGATTTACAATTTTATACTATGGAATGTCCGGTTTTTGTTTTATTTTTATGCTGACAACCTACAGCATTGCCTGTGGAGGAAAAGGAGTAGTGCTAGTATTACACTAGCTTTAAAAAAAAAGGATCACTGGTTAATGTTTACAAATTAACCTGGTGAATGCACATCAGTTACCATCAGCAACGGTGTGGAACACACAAGAAGGAACAGCGGTCACTATCAAAACCTGGCATTTTGGGATAGTCCCAACAAAAGCGCTAGTGACCATTCTAGAGATAGGTGGTCATGGGATGTACATCCATGTGGGGTACCAGTCTGAGCACGGCGGAGCACCTGTCACTTTAATACGGACTTCACAATCAAGAATCTAGCACGATTGCACTTTAATTTCACATATTGGGATTGCACTCTAAGGGCTCATGTAGACTGCAGCTCCTAAACTGACATTCAGGAGCTGTTCTGCATTTTTTTTTCAGCAGCCCCTGAACTCTCCATAATGTTTTCCTATGTGTCCATGTACACATAGTCATTTACAGGCAGTTGCATTTACAGTCGTTTTTTTTTTTTAACGCACCAAACTTGCGTTCAGGAGTAGATTTTATTGGATTTTCCAAACGCTTGTAAATGCGGTTAACTGCGTTTATAAGCGCATGCATTTAGGAGCGTTTTTTTTTTTTTTAACTGTTTCATGTCCAGATGCTGTCCAGAGCTTTTTTTCATCATCGGAAATGCATGCAAAGTGTTTTCCATGTATTCAAATGGATCTAGTACACCAGTGCAGTCAGTTCCAGGTTACGCGTGAAGGAAAAAGTGGTAGAATGTGCCGCATTATGCTCATGATGGGATCCATAGTGAATACAACCAGAAAAGACAGGTAACTTAAACACATACTGCTCTCTCTACTTCTGCTCTCTCTATTCCTCTCAAAACGTCTGAAATAGTTAATTTTTTACTATTTTTCAGTGCATTCTGGGCATTTGGGAAGGTCTCCTGAGGTTATCTTTTAAAAACGCTTCTAAACGCAAATGCACATAAACACGCGGATAAACTGACGTTTTTTAACATACGTTTTCCAGCATTCAGTTTCCATCATTCAGAAGAGTTTTCCAAACGTCCCGTGTACATGAACCCTAAACCAGTTTATAGATGTGTGTTGTTTAATACTATAACTCTGGATATTAATTTGTATTATTTATATCATTTATGCGGTCTATATGGTATTTAATTTGATTTTGTGTATATTAATTCACAGTTAGGACTGTTGCACAGTACGGTTACATTTTATGTACAGGCATATTTCATAAGCACAGCAGCATTTTTTATTTTTCACATAGGTAGTATTAGGCTGAAATTCCACTTTAAGGGCTCATGAACATCGGTATATGGGATTGTATTAGATCTTGTGGGCAGCAAGATCTTCCGTAAAATCATGTTTGTACACTGAATGCATGTAATGTTTATTCTAACATTACATACGTATAGCCAAATGTACTCCGGTGCTGTCCCCTAGCATCCTTGGTTGCTAGGATGCAGGCGGACATTTAGGGACACTAGCCTATGTAACCATTTGCACAAACGTTTACATGCATGCATTGCTAAATACGGTCCATATGCAAGATCATAGACACAAATGTAATTTTTTTTTAAGCAGCAGTGCGCATGGGCCTATACATAACATATAGCTGTGTTCATATCCATTGCTTAATAAAACATTCGGTTATCGATCTGTAGCACGGCTTATTTCTTCTATTTGGTCTCTCATAACTTCTGATTTTTGCTCACTTTTGCTTGCACAGCATGTTTAAGATGATCAGATTTTCAACAATGTTTACATCAGGGAACTGTGAAAGCCATTCCAAACCTTCCTTCAAGTAACTCATGGTGGTGATTGAGGTACATTTACAATCATGGCTTTGTTGTGGAAGCCATTCTCTTTTCATTGCTGTGGCTATTTTACATTGGCATCAAACATTTGCAGAGATTTTGTGGAACCAATTTCTCCTTCTACAAATGCAATGTTTCCTATGCTTGCTAGCTTCTGCGCTTCCCATAAACCACAATAGATCCATTCCCATAGTCAACATTTAGTATGTTTGTTTTTCTTATCAAATGCTGCTCCTTTTTTTTTCTCCAGACAAACCGTTGGTAATTGTGGCCACAGAGGTAAAGATTTATCACAACAGCTTACAGTACTTGTTTCCAAACACCTTTGGGGGGGGCGGGGGGGGTACCCGAATTTGACAGGTACCTGCTCCCACTTCCGTTCCGATCGCCTAGGTGATCGGAAGCGGAAGGTGTCCTCCCTTCCTCCCTAGCTGTAGTCTTTTGGGACACGTGACAGATCCCAGAAGACTACAGGACCATTCACGAAGTGCAGTGCTACTCACGCATGCGCAATGGGTACCCGGATGTGAAGCCGCAAGCAGTCACAGCCGGTTGCCCACACTGAAGATGCCGGCCTTCTGGAATACAGGATGGCCGGAGAAACGGGCTGCGGAGGACGCACCACGGGACCAAGGGACAGGTAAGTGGCTGTTTTTTTTTAAAAGTCAGCAGCTACAGTTTTTGTAGCTGCTGACTTTTATTTTTTGACTGCGTGAGTGGAACTCCATTTTAAGCAGTTCTCTCTGAAAGTTTTCTTAGGTTTCTAGATCTTAACTTGCCTTGCAATAACTTCAGCTTCATGTACACTGGTTCATCTCGAACTCACCTAATCTGCATTTTTTTCAAACCAGTTAAGGTGAATTTAGCAGAGTTTAGCAGCATGAGGTGTTTGGGAGTTTATTTCATTGGCTAGAATTGTAATTTTTTTTCTTAACATTAATAAATGCTGAAGTGCTAAACAGGCCTAGAGCTTAGGTGCATTTAAACGTGTTTAAATGCCAGTAAACTATTGTCCTGCGCACAGTTTTTGTGCTTTGCGAGAAACGCCAGTAAACTCTGCTGCCTGCAAACTCCTCTGTACGACTATGTGTATATGGACACATAGGATAACATAAAGGAGAGTTCAGGGGCTTCAGAAAAAAATGCTCAACTGCTCTTAAACGTCAGTGTACATGAGGCCTTCCACTGTTCCCCTTAACTGCCATTTCTGACAGCATTACAGAAAGTGAAACTTGTAAGCTAAAGGTCTTTTGCCATCTTTTTATAGCCCAACCCTGTATATAATCTTCAATTGCCTTGAATTTCAAATGCCTGCTTAGTTGCTTAGAGGAGCCATTGGTTGTTGTGCAACAGCCCAAGAATGTGCTGGAGTTTTTGTTAAAGTGAAATCAGAAACTGTCTTTCAGACTTAATGGTTCATTGGGTCATGTAAGAAGATAATACTGGAATAAAAACAATTCTCTGAATTTAATAAGTGGCTCCTGGTCCTTGTTGGATTTGGACTATGTGTATACTTTGTAAATAATAACAACATCGTTAAAGATTTTGAAGGCATACGATCCAGTACATGTTTAAACAATTATACCCAATGGGTGCTAATGATTGGTAGGATAACATGTAGGTTAAAATACAATCATTACTTCAAACTGAATCATCTGTGTAGGAGGAATGAAACTGGATGAGCAAAATCCTTCCTTTAATAACAAGTTGAAGTTTGTTCAGTGTAAAAAATCTTACATAATGGAAAAACTGCTCAGCAACAAGACACAGGGTCAAAAACGTTTTCAGATGTAACGTCCAAGATCTTTTGCAGAAGCACTAAAAAAGACAACGTTAAGAACTGAAAATGTAGTGGCTGGTGAAGGAAACTTAGTGCAGCTGATGAAAGACACATGGTGACTTCCCTTTGCAATCTGAAGACTTCAAGTACCACCATCAGTTTGATCTTGGCAGAAACCATGAGCCCTCCCTGTACACCCATCTACAGAGAAGTCTGGTCAGGAGTGGTCCTCTTGAAAGACTTGCAATTAAAAAATAAGCCAAACCTCCGACCTGGAAACAAGGCCAAATGAGTCGCCTATGTACAAAAACACACAAACGAGTGTGCAGAAAAATGGCAGGCAGTGCTTTTGGCTGACGAGTCCAAATTTGAGATATTTGACTGTAACCGGGAGCAATTTATTTGCAAAAGGTCTGGAGAGGGGTAAAATCATGAGCAGGCAACAGTGAAGCATGATGGAGGTTCCTTGCAGGTTTGGGGCTACATTACTACACATGGAGTAGGGAATTTGTTCAGAATTGATAGTCTCCTCTTGAAAATTGCATCAGGGGAGGGACATCTGATTCCCAGATTATACAGGCTTGACCAAAAATATTGGCACCCCTGTATTCTCATGTTTATTTCTTTTGTTTGTATTTGGTATGCCAAAAAAAGTGGAGAAACAAAAATCCAAATCTGACACATTCCACACAAACCCCGAAACATGGACTGGACAAAAGTATTGGCTCCCTCAATTTAATATTTGATAGCACACCCCTTGGAAAAAAATAATTGAAATCAATCGCTTCCTGTAACCAGCAATGAGTTTTACACCTCTCTACTGGAATTTTGGACCACTCTCTTCTTTCACCAACTGCTCCAGGTCTCTTAGATTGGAAGGGTTCCTTTTCCCAACTGCAGTTTTGAGATCTCTCCACAGGTGCTTTATCAGATTGAGATCTGCACTCATTGCTGGCCAGTTCAGTACTCTCCAGTGCTTTGTCTGAAACAATTTGGGGGTGCTTTTTGGGTGATTGTCCTGCTGTAAGACCCATGACCTCTGACTGAGACCCAACTTTGACACTGGGCTCTACATTGCACCCCAGAATTATTTGGTAGTCTTCACATTTCATAATGCTATGCACACGGTCAAGATATCCAGTGCCTGAAGCAGCAAAACAACCCTAAAACATCAGTGAACCTCCACCATGTTTGACTGTAGGGACGGTATTCTTTTCTTTAAAGGCCTCATTGCTTTTTGTGAAAAAAGTAGAATGATGAGCTTTACCAAAAAGCTGTAATTTTGTTTCGTCTGTCCACAACACATTCTCCCAAAAGCAGTTTGGCTTCCTCAGATAAGTTTTGGCACACTCCAATCTGCCTTTTTTATGTTTGCGTGTGAGCAGTGGGGTCCTCCTGGGTCTCCTACCATAGTGTCCTTTTTCATTCAGATGGCGACGTATAGTGAGAGCTGAGTCTGGAAGTTGATCGAGGTTATTTAGCCACCATTCAAACAATCCTTTCTTGCAATCTTTGATCGATTTTTCTCTTTCATCCACATCCAGGGAGGTTAGCTACAGTGCCATGGGCTGTAAACTGCTTGACAATGTTGTGCACAGTGGGAACAGTAACAGTAAGATCTCTGGAGATGGAATTGTAACCTTGAGATTGTCTATGCTTTTCTACAATTTTTGTTCTCAAATCCTCAGACAATTCTTTGCTGCTTTTTCTCTTCTCAATGCTCCATGTGGTTCACAAGGACACAGAAAGGTTGAGTAAATTTTTCACCATTTTAACTGGTTGCTGGTGGGATTTCTATATTGTCAGCACCTGTTAATCGATACAGGTGAGTTTAATTACAAATTACAGGAGCATCACAAACTTGGAATGCAGTTATTTCTAGCAATTTTCAGAAGATGCCAATCCAATCCAGTCCATTTTTGTTGTTTTGTGTGGAATGTCAGATTTGGCTTTTTGTTTCTCCACTTTTTTGTGTCAGATCAGCACAGACAAAAGTAATAAACATGAGAATTCCAAAACATTTGTACTTGCAACAATTTTCTGGGCGAAGTGGTGCATTATCTGACAGAAATGCAGGGGTGCTTATATTTTTGGCTATGACTGTATATGCAGCAGGACAAAGACCTCCAACTAAGGCAAGCCACGGGTTGCAAGAAAGAAATTTGCTTGATTTCTCTAATCAACACAGACCGTATTGACAGCGGAATCCCTCCCGCTGAGCCAGTGTCTTTTCCTGGCAGGGGAAGCCATCCCCACTGGGAGAAGACAGTGATTATTGCTAGCGGTAATAACAGCCGCTAGCGATGATCACATGTAAAAATCCATCAGGCTGATCGTACCGATCAATCAAGGTGGGAACATTCAAGCCTGCCCATACGTGGTTTGAATCTTGGCCAGTTCCTACTGAAGAGGCCGAGATTCGAACCGTCTTTGGCCGGCTTAACAGCCAAAGTAATGAAGAACTATCTTCATGGATAAAACAAGGGGTGCTGGAAGAAATGGTTTTGTCCCCTCTGAACCATATTGTGAAAAGCATGTGGAACAGCTTAAGGCTCCATGTACACGAGTCTACCCTGACCGCTGGCTTCGGGAAAACGCAAAACACGGCAGCCGCTGTACTGTGATTTTGCCACGTTTTGCATTTCCCACGGTCGGCGGTCAAAACGATCCTATCCTGAACATCATTCCTCCACGTTCAGGAGAGGGAGGTTTAACCTTGCCTAAACGCGGCAGCACCTAAACTCTGTTAAAAGCCTATGTGTACACGGACACATAGGCTTTTATGCAGTTGCATTTAGGAGCTTTGGCAAAAAAATGCCAAAATCTCCTCAACTCGAGTTTAGGAGCTGCTTGTGTACATGAAGCCTTAATCCACCTAAAAACTGTGGCTAGTTCTCATGGATATTTGGAACAACCTACCTGTTGAGTTCCTTTTTTTCCCCAATCCATAATTGAAGCATGCCATTTATTTATTGCTGTTGATTTTATTCGATGTAGCCAATCCTAGTTCCGAAGCAACCAAAGAAGTATTGAAATTGAAAGTTGCTTGTGTTGGCCCTAACTCACAAAGTTTATATAGAGGAGAGGGAGGTGTGTATGTTCAAGCACAGTATGAAGCCACATTGATTTTTTTTCTTTCCCCATTTTAGACGTACGATTTCCCACTTAATAACAAACATGTTCTCATCAGATATGAGGGTGCACAATATATTAAATTAGCCTTTTTTGCTGAAATCTCATTGTTCGTTTTAAAAAGCATGTTTTGTGGCCTTAATTATCAGCTTGCCAATTGCAATGCAATTACTTTTCCTACTGAGTTTTGCCTTGTAAAAAAAAAATCAAGTTATGCAAAGTGAGTCATTTGTTTTAATTTTCATTTATATGTGTCTTGCTTTTTCTTTTCTTTTTTTTTGAGGATTTGCTGCAAGTATTTTGTGGTCTACATGCTGTGCTTTATACCTAATCATTTCAAATGACAAATAGGAAACTGAGCAGAGGTTTCTTAGAAAAACTAACTGTATTATATAGTTACAATGGAAGAAAATGACATTTTCCATGTTTCATGCTCCATGGGTGCTGTCTGTTTTGTTGC